TGGTCAGCGGGGTCATCAAGGCCCACCTGTTCATCAGCATCTTCCTGGTGGTGGCCATCAGCCAGGACCGCTACCAGGTGCTGGTACACCCCATGGCCAGCCGGAGGCGGCGGAGACGCCGGCAGGCCCAGGCCACCTGTGCGCTCATCTGGGTGGTGGGGGGCCTCCTGAGCACCCCCACGTTCCTGCTGCGGTCCGTCGAAGCCGTCCCTGAGCTGAACATCTCCGCCTGCATCCTGCTGCTGCCCCACCAGGCCTGGCACGTGGCTAGGATGGTGGAGCTGACAGTGCTAGGCTTCCTGCTCCCCCTGGCCGCCATCCTCTTCTTCAACGTGCACATCCTGGCCTCCCTGCGAGCGCGGGAGGCCGTCGGCAGGGCCCGGTGTGGGGGCCCCAGCGACGGCAAGACCACGGCGCTGATCCTGGCGCTCGTGGGGGCCTTCCTGGTGTGCTGGGCGCCCTACCACCTCTTCGCCTTCCTGGAGTTCCTGTTCCGGGTGGGGGCCGTCCAGGGCTGCTCCTGGGAGGAGCCCATCGACCTGGGCCTGCAGCTGGCCAACTCCCTGGCCTTCGCCAACAGCTGCCTGAACCCCGTGATCTTCGTCTTCGTGGGCCGGCTCTTCAGGACCAAGCTCTGGGAGCTTTACAAACGATGCGCCCCCCGGAGCCTGGCGGCGCTGTCCTCCACCCACAGGAAAGACTGCGGCCCGCTGTCCGGGCGGAGCTGAAGCAGCAGAGAACGGAGAATCGTGGCCTCCGTTTCGATCCTTCCATCCTCATAAAGACTACGGTGGTGGTCAGATGACCATCTACCAAATAATGACCCCCCAAGACATCCGGAGCCCGTTTCTAGACCCTGGGGAGGTTGGTTGACAGGGTAACAGGGACTTTGTAGGTATCATTAAGATGAGGATCTCCGGGTGGGGAGACGGTCCTGGATTATCCACGTGGCCCAACATAGTCACAGGGTCCTCAGAGTCAGAGGAGATGTGGGGACACATGCAGAAGTCAGAGCCAGGAGGAAGGAGCCGTGAGCCAAGATTGCAGGCGCCCTCAGAGGCGGGGCAAACCACGGGGGCAGATCCCCCTGGAGCCTCCAGAAGAGCCTCTAGAAACAGGCCCTGCCCACCCCTGACCTCCAGAACTGTCACAGAATAAATCGGAGTTGTTCAAAGCACTGAGTCTGCGCTAAGTTGTTACAGCAGCAACAGGAAACTCATCCAGGCATCCGGGAAGGGTGTCTTGTTACATCTCCATTTGTCCAGAATGTTCTGAGCTGTGAGGAATATACCGAGGTTCAGCCCAAGCTCCTGCCCACGAGGTCTGGCTGCCCAGAGGGACGGGGAGGTGAGCTGTGGGCTGAGTTTCAACAGAAGGTGGGGTACAGGAGGGGAGGACAGCTGGGGGAAGCACTGCCCTGGGCCACTTGCAACGCACTGGTCCGCACCCACTGGCCCCTGGCCCACCATGCTCTCCTTGCCACTAGGGACCTGACGCATGGCCTGACGGTGTCTCTGCTTCAGTTGTGGCCACAGGACAATAACCAGGAGCATATCACAGAGCAGGAGCACCGCCCCATCCCCCGGGGAGAGAATGGGGTGAGAGTGCAGAGATGGGCCAGACCGGGTGGCTAGGAGGAGCCCTCAGAGAGGGCTTCCCGCAGGAAGGACGGATGACCCGAATCCCAAACACCTGGCCATTGGCCAAGCAAAATAAGGAAAGGGCATGTTCCTGCAGAAGAAGCAGCAGAACAGAGGCAGGTGGGCTTTAGGTAGGAGGGAGGCTTGGAGGGAGGTGGAGGACCAGGGCGTGGGTGGGGCTGGGAGAGGATGGCCTGCTGGGGGGTCCGTGATGGTCAACGGTCAGAGTCAACTCACTAAGGAAGCATGAAGGGATTCAGGGGCTCGGAGCCCTGCTGAAGCTGGAAAGCATGAATTTGATGTGCACGTTCCTTCTACAGCGCTCAGCAAGCTCCAGAAGGCAGGCAGGCAGTCGGACTGCTCCAGGTTGGGTTTTGCCAGATGGACGGCCACAGTTCACGGGGGTTGGAGGTACTGGTCAGTCGGTGGTGAAGGACTGAAATAGGGAACGAGCACGAGGTACACCAGCCAGCGTTCTGCCACTATGGCAAACTACCTGAGATAATCCCCTTAATGAGGGAAAAGGTTGACTCTGGCTAATGGTCTCCCAGGTCTCAGTCCATGGTCACCTGCCCCTGGGCCTGTGGCTGCCCAGCACATCACGGCAGGAATGCATGACAGAGGAGCCTGTCCCTCTCTTGGCAGCCAGCACTTGAAGAGAGATGAGAAGGGGCCTGGAGTCCAACAGCTCCTCCAAGGCACTACCCCAGTGACCTACCTGCCTTCTAGGAGGCCCCACCTCCCGATGGTGCCAGGGACTGGGGACCAAACCTTTCACACGAGGGCCTTTAGGGCCATTTCAGATCCAAGCTCAGCAGGAGGTGAGGGAAGCCAGTGGTACAGGTCAGGACAGGCGTGTGCAAGTGGGATGTCCACTGAGCCCCACGGTCAGACAGGCACGGCAAGGCCCTGGGGAGGAGAGAGTGCTCCTGGGGCCAAGATCAGCTCCATGGAACAGGGACAGAGGTCCTGTTCAGACCCCTGAGACACTGAGCTGGCAGCCTCCTGGCCTGGACAGAAAGGCCGGCCCTCATGTCGCCACACAGAAGTGGAAAGCAGACAGTGTCCCTGGGGACACATGGTCCTGTGAGGCTGGGCTGCTGGGACCCTGGGGACGATGACTTTGCCATCATGCTCCAGCCCAGAGTGCCCGGAGAGCAGGTGTGTCCCAGCAGCCTGGATCTGGGTCAGCAGGCGGGATGCACCTGTGCAAGCCCCAGGCCGCGTGGCATTCAAACAGCTTCTGATGCATTATCCAAACCCAAGCTCCAGAGAGACACCCGCTCTCCAGCTCCTCCCGAACACCCGGAAGGTGGAGTGACACCGGGCGGTTCGTGCCTTTGTCTGCCATCGCAGGCACTGCCAGCACAGTGAACACAGACGCCACTCCAGGCCCCTTGGAGCTGGCCTCCTGGGGCTCCCAGGACACTGATTCTTGGGTGCTGAGTGACAGCGCCCCCTGTGGGCTGGGCAACCTCCCTCCAGCGTGGCACAGGCTCCATACTGCAGATGGCTGCGATTGCAAGCCCTGATCTGACCCAGCTCCTTCATTTACAGTCTAGGACAGAGGGCAGGTGGCCTGCGAGCAAGCTCAGGGAGAGCCACGGCACCCACAGGGCCAACGTCCCGGGACCACCTCCTTCACCCTCCTTGAGTCCTCATGAGTCCATCCCCGTGTGCCAGGGTAGGAAGGGCCGGCCGAGGGAGGGGCAGAGGCTGGTGACTTCCAGATCCCCAGGCGGCAGCTCTGCAGGCAACACTCCCGAGCCAAGAGGCAGGAGGCGCCGGCAACACTCGCTGGACAGGAATGGACAGGCGTCCCTCTTCCGCTGCGCGAACTGCCTGCCCTGAGCTGCCTTTGTCCTTCTGCCACCTGCCTTCAGCCCCTTCAGCTCTTGGCTCATCAACCCTTTCTAGGGGTGCAGATCATTCCCAGGATCACGTGCCGGCCTTGAGCTTTTGACTGCGCAGCTCCAGGCTGGTTCAAGGGCACGCTGTGACAAGGTCCCTGAGAAGCCAGCCTCCTGAAGGCAGCCGCAGCAGGAGGGCCTGGCGCCTGGCAGCTGCACAGAGGCCCGACCCACTGCCCGGAGGTTGTTACTCATTGCAGAGATTCCTGCCTTGGCTGAAGGAGCCATTTTTCAGATTCCTGTGGATGGGGCTGGTTGGCACCGCTGGCTGGTTTCCCTTCCAACCTGGATCAGGCCTGAGCCACACCCCGGGTGCTGATGCCCGCCCTGGGTGGAGGGACGTGTCAGCAGAAGGTGCTACAGCACCCCTTGCTCCACTGCCCACGTGGCTCCCACCTGCCCTCTGTGAAGGGCTCCTGGAGATGGGGGGCTTCTTCCCCA